ACAGATGGCGTTGAAGATGAGCGCGCGCGTCACAGCGCAGGCCAGGTCTACACTGGCCGCGGCACCAGCTCCCGCGGTCTGCACGCTAGGAGTGGTCCGCCCTCGCAATGAATGCGGAATACTATTACGAAAAGTACAACTAGTGCGACACACTAGTCAGTCTCGTAATCGCGCCAAGAGCGCGGATACACACACAAACAACAGGCGCGGCTATGAATAGCTGCGCATATACAGATAACGACTGTTCACAGTTGGGAGAGAGAGAGTCGTCTCTAACGCTCCCCCCTAGTTGCATCGGCAACTATCTCAGCTCCCGGAGATGATTGACCGGTTGATGTTGTCGGAAAACACGGCGCCGCGGAGGTCGATGGCGTGGCCGGTGCTGGCGGTGAGCCGCGCGCTGATGGTCTGGGACGTGTTGACGCTGGCGGCGGAACCGACACCGGCGATGTCAAAAGCTTGCTGCCGAATGTCGTATGGTTGCGCGAGGACGTCGGCAAGGCATAGAGCTTCCTCGGTGGCATGCGGAGCGTGCTTTATCATGTTCACGTTGGATCCGTTGTCGAGCTGGCACCTGAGCCTCGCTGGTTCGGTGGGCGCTCGCGGGGTGCCCCGTCTCGTGTGCCCTGCGCCGGTCTCGGCGGCGTTGACGGAGGCGGCGAGGGCGCCGGCGGCGAAGAATACACGGTGCTGCTGACGGATGACGGTGGTCGCGGCGAAGCCGGTGGCGGCTATTTTGTCGAGGGAGCAGAGGCTTGCGACGACAATGACGGCGAGGGCTGCCCGACCGAGGAAGCGGGCGCAGCGGCCGGCGTTGTGGTAGAGGGCTGGAGCTGCATCGACGGCGGCGATAACCAACCCCTCTCTCCCGATGGCGGCGAGGCTGGCAGCGCTGCGTGCAGCGTCGCCGGCGGCTTCGACAGCGTGGCACGCGGCGGCGACAGAGTTGAGGTAAGCGCGGCCGAGGCGAGCACGGCCTGCACTGTCGGCGAGTTCAAGAGCACCGACGACGGCGACGGCGGCGCACGCGAACGCGGCTCCGCGGGCGGCGAGGGCGAGCAGGAGTAGGAACGCAGCGCCGGCGGCGTATGCGAGCGCACGCTCGTGGAGCCCGCGGATCTCGGCGCGGAGCTCGGTGATGGCAGCGGCCTGCTCGGTGGTGAGGGCATCGAGCTCGCCGAGCTCGCGGTTGGCTGCGGCGAGGCCTTCAAAGGCGCCATTCTTTGCGGCCTTGGCAGCGAGGGAGGCGGCGCGTGCGTCCTTCTCTGCAGCTAGGGCGGCGCTGGCAGCGGCGTTGGCGGCGTCGGCGGCGTCGGCGGCCTCGGCGCTGGTGTGCGCAATGTCGCCTCGCAGCGCGGCGAGCTGGCTGGTGTAGGCCTCGAGCCCGTCGTCGTGGGCGTTTGCAGCAGAGTCGCCGGCGGGGGTGGCCTCGGCGCTGGCGGTCTCGAGGGCGCCGATGCAGCCGTCGTCGCCGAAGACGGCGTCGTCGGGGACAGCGGCGCGGAGGTCGGGGGCGGGCGCCTCGGCGGCGTTGGCCTCTCCCTTGCCGATGTCCTCCTCGCCGTTGTACTGCTTGTTGGCGATGATGAGGACCTTGCGAGCTGCCCTACCGAGCGGCTTGTCGCCCGGGCCGTCGACCTTGGCGGGGACGGGGCCGCTGCGGCAGACGACGCATGTGCCACGGCGGAGGCCGCCTGGGCACACCTTCTCGGCAAGGCGGCGGTCGATCTTGCCGGCTTGGAGGGCGGCGGCGCACTTGTTGCACTTGGTCTCGCGCGGCGGGGCGCGCTCGTCGCGTGCGCGTGCGGCGGCTGCTGCGGCCTCGGCTGCGCGGGCGGCGTCAGCAGCGGCGGCGGCGGCGGCGGCTCGGGCAGCGGCTGCAGCGTTGGCGTCGGCGGCGTTGGTCTCCGCCGCTACCATGTGACGGCGGAGTTGACGCCTCCGACGGTCGTAGCGGCGTGGCTGAGGGCGGCGGAGGAGGCGCCCGATAGCGCGGTGAGGATGGTCTCATGGGTCTAGCAAACCATAGACGACACCAAGAGAACGCGAGGTAAAACCCGACGGCTATGGATGGTAAAAGGCGGCGGTAAAACCCATCCACACGGGTTTCGGTGGGTTGGATGGGAGGTAGAATGTCTACCTACCGCACAGGGGAGGTGGACGCGGACCTCAACCCGCTGCCCGTCACCGTCCGCGTGGGGACGGCCGTCGACGTCGTCGGGCTCGCGGGGCGGTGCTCGGCTAAACCAGACCAGGCGGTCCGGCGCCGCGACTCCTTTCTTACGGCGGCTCGACTCCTTGTTTAGGCCGAAGACGATCACGGGCTTCCAGACGCACACCACGCCCGTGCTGCTGGCCATCGGCGAGCGTGCCGAGCTCGCGACGGACGAGTACCTGCCGCTCACCTCGGTGCTCGAGGGCGTGGTCATCCTCAAAAAGAACCCAGAGTTCGAGGGGCAGTGAGGAAGCACGGCGAGGCGCGGTAAGACGCGGCGCATGCGTGGCGAGGCGGGGGGGGAGGGGGGGGATGCCGCCCACACGCCACACGCACACCCACAGGTGCCACCTCGCGCCTCGGGAGCCCCGCCGCGACTTGCCATTTCGCGCCGCCAAAAGGAACCGGTCTCTGGCGTCCAACGAGCTTTTTTGTATTGAAGAGATTCTGACGTCTGTCATCAGTGACACGAGCGGTGTCCCTTCTGACCTCCCGCGTCCCGGATGAGGGGATGGCCTGGCAGCTGGCTGCTCCCGTCAGGAAGCGGAGAAGCGCGTCCACCGCCGGCGCTCCCGGCGGCGCGCGCTCTCCGTGAAATTCACACCCAGAATATCTCGGCCATGCCACACGCCGGCCCGCTCGTCTCGCCCCGCCGGGTGCGGAGTCGGCTCCGCGGATGACTAAGATATAACGTTACGTATCTACCGCCTACCGGGAACTGATTCAAGATAAGAGTAACTCTACCATCTTTGCGAGGCGGCGCCTTGCACGCAGATTAATCGCTCGGCGGGGCACAAAGCATTCTCACCCAACACGTGCGTGGTGCCCGTTCTCCGGAGCTCTGTCGCCACCTCAGAGGGCACGCGCCCCTTGTGGCAGTTGAGGTGCAGCTCGATCGGCCAGACTCCCACGCGAGTCTGAGTTGTCGTACTGCCATTGGCCAGCGCTCGCCGAGCGGCTTGCATGAAGGCGAGCTGGCTGCGGCTCTCCTCTGCGGCTGCGACGTCGGCCGCGTAGCGAGCTGTGGCAACGCGGAAGAGCAAGGCATCGTTGGTCGTGTACAGAGAAAATGCATCCTGTACGTGCTGCTTCATAATCGCTTCGTTGAGGACCTTTTCGGAGCCGGCGTTTGAGTTGCACGAAGGCAAGCGAGCAGAGAGGGGTCCCGGTGCGCCCTCACTGTGCGAGGCGGGCAAGTAGACACCGATACGCGCCATCAGAAACCAGAGAAACTCGTTGAGTCGCGCGCTCGGTGCCACGTAGTCGTAGGCCGCTAATAGCTGCGCGTAATGCAGCGGAGTTGAGAGGTTGAGGGTGGAGCTGATCCCGCTATTCAGCCACCGGCTCTGCCGATCCGGGTTTTGGGCTAGCCACAGAGCGAGGTCGTCGGCGAGCAACGTGGCATTCCTCCGCACGCTCGAGGTGCGAGAGAGCGATGGAACCACACCAAGCCCGCCGTCGAGCCGAAAGTATCGGTATGCAGACCGCTGAAGAGACTTTGGCTCACGCACCACCGTCACGACCTGGAGCATGCATGAAGCGTCGCGATACATCTTGCGGAGCTGCGGCAGGTGCGACAGGAAGAGCCGCATGTCACGGCCGTGAGGGTGATAGGAGTGGTAGATGTGCGTGCGGTGCCACGAGGGCAGCAAGGTCGGGACCTTGTGCCTCTGAAACCGCAGGCCCAAGATGGCGTGGAGCACATCGTTTGGGAAGTGGTGACTAATGGAATGTGTCGCAACGTAGGACCCCTCCGAGACCGCGCTCCAGTTCTTGCCAATCATACGTCCACTCACATTGACCTCGGGCGGCCTAGCGTTCGCAAGCGCCCAAAACAGATCGTCGACGGTGGTACCGCCCGTCTTTGGGATGTGACCAAAGACGGTGAGCGAGCATGTGCCGGCGTCGGAGCGAACGCCTTTCAGCGTCGGATGAAGATATCGTCGTTCGGCGGCGCTCATCACGAGCGGCACTGAGGTAAGAGGCAGCGTTAACCAGCGGGCGGCGGCGCTTTCAAGGTGCCTTGTTTCATGTTTGCCCGGTCGGCCGTTGCATTCGGGGTTTTCTTCTTGTTCTCCAGAAGAAAAAAAAGTTGTCGGTTCGGCACCGGGCACCGCCTCGGTACACTCTGCCTGCGGGCCGACGTTCACATTTCGACTTTTTGTTCTTTCCTGCTCCCCGCGCGCTCTCTCTCTCTCATGCTCTCTCTCTTTCTCACGACGGCACCTCCTCCTCCCCCTCCCCCTCCTCGCCCCCGCCCCCTCTCTGCACTCTCCAAAAGTCGACCGCCACGTCCTTGCTCGGCTGCCGGTGGTGCTTGTACATTCTGGGGATCTCGAACCGCAGCTCCGCCACCACGGAGGCCTCGCCGCCGGCCTCGGCCGCCTTTTTCGCGATGAACGGGCGGGTGGAGGTCTTGTGCAGCGAATAGACCGCGCCGCCGGGCCGGCAGAGCCGCAGCCCCGCCTGCAGAAACGCCACGTCCGCGCCGTGCGACTCGCTTCGCGTCCTCTTGTAAGGACGATCAGGGACACAGGGGAAGGGGAGCGGGGAGCGCATCCCGTAAAAAGAAAGAAAACAGACAGCCCAAGGGAGGGATGGGAGGACGGCACGCCGCCACCACACAGGGATTTTAAGAAGAGGGGTGTGGTGCGCTAGCCGTCGCATCCCGTATAAATAAATAGAGCAGTCATCTCCAGGGAGAGATGGGCGACGCATCCCGTGCCCAGTGTTGTGCGGGGTGTAAAATTCTTTTCGCAGACCCGGCACGGCGTGACAGGCGCCCCAGGCGCCCAGGCGCACTGAAACACCTCGGGAGCCGCCAAGAGCGGCCAGCCTTCGCACCTATCGGACCTCTGCCATGGCCCTCACCTGCGGCCGAGCCGCCCTCGCGCTGCTCGCCGTCTACGTGGCGATCCTCTCGCACACGCTGCTCGAGCTCTTCTACCCGTCGCCGTGCCGCGGTGCCGCCTGTCTGCAGCCGCTGCTGCGCAGCGGCGCCGCCGTCGACCTGCAGGCGCACATCGACGGGCGGCTCGTCTGGAGCGCAGCCGGTGTGAGCAGCGGCGCAGGCCTCGAGGACGTCGCGTTTGCGGTCCCGGTCCCGGCCGAGGTGCGGCTGGGCAGTCGAGAGGAGCTGCATCTCGACTTCTCCATCGCGCTCGCCGGTCAGCAGCAGCCCATCGCGCACGCCCGGGCGCTCCTCTGCGCGCGCCGCCAGCCGCGACGCCGCAGCACCGCCCGCATGCTGCTCGCCGAGCCAGCCGTCTCCTCCACGCCTGGCTCCGCCACTTCCGACTCTGCCGCCGCCGCCGTCCCCGCCGCCTTCGCTTCCAGCGAGCAGAGCGGCGTCGCCGTTTCCAGCGAGCAGAGCGCCGCCTCCGTATCCAGCGAGCAGAGCGGCATCGCCGTTTCCAGCGAGCAGAGCGGCGTCGCCGTTTCCAGCGAGCAGAGCGGCGTCGCGCCGCCCAACGAGCGGGGCGAGGTGCCGCACTACCTCTATGCGGCGGCGAGCCTCGAGCTGCGGCTGGTTGCCGACGAGACGCCGCACGCCGGGCCGGTGCTGCCGAGCGACGGGGCCCAGGTCGCGAACGGCGTGGACTGGTCTCGGCGCGTGTACGCGCCTCGGCTCTACGTCGACGAGCTCGGCCTGCTGGGCAAGCACGCGCTGCCTCTCTCGAGCGACGTGGGCAAGGAGCCTCCTCGGCTGCGGCTGCGGCTGCTGCCCATCTCCCTCGGTCGGTACCGCGCCACGCGCCAGCTGCACACGGCGCTTGGCGCGCTGCAGGCGGCCAGCGGGATGGAGGCAGTTTGACGCGCTGCGCGAGCTGTGCCTTCCCCCCTGAGCCTTCTCTGAACCTTCTCTGAACCTTCCTGCAGGCCGAGTTCGACGAGCTACGCGAGCTGCTCTCCGAGAAGCGCCTCTACCGCTTCGCGCTGATGCAGCTGATCGGGCTGCTCCACGTCGTCTTTGACGCGCTCGCCTTCCGGAACGACGTCGGCTTCTGGAAGGGGCGGGAGGACCTGAGGGGCCTGTCCTCGCGCGGCGTCATCTTCAACGCGGGCTCCACGCTCGTCATCTTCCTCTACCTGCTCGACGGCGACGGCGTCAACTCGATCGTCCTCGCTACCTACGCCTTCTCCACCGCCCTCGAGCTTTGGAAGCTGACCAAGGTGGTTGCGATGCGGCGGCGGGCGCGCGGCGCGGCCGGCGGCGCCGGCGGCGAGGGCGCGCGCGCCGAGGCGGCGACGGAGCGGTTCGACGAGGTTGCGACGCGGCACTTGACGTGGGGACTCGCGCCGCTGGTCGTCGGCTGGGCGCTGTACGCGCTGCTCCACTACCCGCACGCGTCGTGGCGCGCCGCTTCCCCGCCGTCCTCCCGCCAGCCCCGCCTCCGAGGGGGCGAGTCACCAACCTTGGATTCTGCACCCTCTTGTCAGGTACAGCTGGCTGCTCGGCTCGCTGGCCGACGCGATCTACCTCTTCGGCTTCATCGCGATGACGCCACAGCTCTTCATCAACTACAAGGCGCCGAGAGGAGCCGAGATGGCCCGAGATGGCCCGAGCTCTCCCAAGATCCCCAGATCTTCTTCAGCCACAAGGCGGTTCGCTGCTCAACCCCCCCGCACCCTCCAGGCCTCTGTCCCTCCCAGGGCACCCCCCTTCCCCGTGCCCCTGCCTGCGCCAGACCAGCCCCCTCGCTTCTGCCGTCGCCACGGCGCGCCGAGGAAGTACACACGCCGTTTCGAGGCAGAGCTCCCCCGCCCCCCCTCGCGCCAGATGAAGAGCGTCGCCCACCTGCCGTGGCGCGTCCTCGCGTACAAGGCCTTCAACACCTTCATCGACGACGCCTTCGCGCTGATGGTCGCGATGCCGACCGCCCACCGCGTCGCCTGCTTGCGGGACGACCTCGTCTTCCTCGTCCTCCTCTACCAGCGCCGCCTCTACCCCGTGGACCGGAAGCGCGCCAATGAGTTTGGCATCGCGTACGAGCGGGACGAGGCGGACGTCGCTCCCGCGCGAGGGGAGGGCAGCGCGGGAGATGGGGCCGAGGAGGGGCCTGCTAGAGGGGTGGAAGCGGAGGGCGAGGTACCCACCCGCCTCCTCGACCTCCCCACGGAGCTCCTCGTGCGTGTCGTCTCTCGCTGCGACCCCGCCGACATCGCTCGCGTTGCGGCCGTCTCGCACATCTTCCACGCCTCGCTTGCGAAGGAGGGCATCCGCTTGTGGGCGCAAGAGCGCGGCTTCGAGCTGGCGGCGCAGCCAGAGGGCGAGGGCTGTGCCGTGCGGTGGCTGTGTCTCGCTGCCTTGCTGCGCGAGTCCAACCCGCCGGTGAGGGCGTCGACAGGCCGCTCCCACAGCGTCTTCATCGACGGCGAGGGGCGCCTCTCGTCGTGCGGCAGTGAGTGGAGCTACACAGGCCTGCCTCGCCGTCCAGGATTGCTCGGGCACGGCGAGGGGGTGACACGGCTCGACACGCCGACGCGCCTCTCGTCGACGCTGGGCGGCGAGCGCGCCGTGAGCGTGTCGGCTGGAGTCGGCCACACCCTTGCCCTCACCGCTGATGGCGCTGTCTGGAGCTGGGGCGATGGAAACTACGGCCAGCTGGGCCACGGCGACCGGCAGTACCAGCTGCTGCCCAAGAAGGTCGAGGCCTTTGCTGGTCAGCACGTCGTCGCCGTGTCGGCTGGAGATAGCCACAGCCTCGCCATCACCGCTGACGGCGCTGTCTGGAGCTGGTGCCAGGGAGCCTGGGGCCAGCTGGGCCACGGCGACAAGCAGCCCCAGTGGCTGCCGAAGAAGATCGAGGCCTTTGCTGGCCAGCGCGTCGTCGCTGCGTCGGCTGGAGCGCAGCACAGCCTCGCCCTCACCGCCGACGGAGCCGTCTGGAGCTGGGGCTGGGGAGGCGATGGCGTGCTGGGCCACGGCGACCGGGAGGACCAGCTGCTGCCAAAAAGGGTCGAGGCCTTTGCGGGTCGGCGCGTGGTCGCTGTGTCGGCTGCAGACCGCCACAGCCTCGCCCTCGCCGCCGACGGAGCCGTCTGGAGCTGGGGCGAGGGAGGGTCGAAGGGAGGGGAAGGCTGGCTGGG